TATTTTTAGTAGAGGCGGGGTTTCACTGTGTTAGCCAGGATGGTCTCGATCTCCTGACCTCAGGTGATCCACCCGCCTCGGCCTCCCAAAGTGCTGAGATTACAGGCGTGAGCCATCGCACCTGGCCTGAAGTTCACTTTTCTTTTTAGTTTGCTGAGAATTTTTACTGTGAATCAGTATTCAGAATTGTTTACATCTATTGAGATGATCATGTGATTTTTCCCCTTTATGCTATTAATGTGGACAAATCCACTTAGTGATTATTTGTTATCCTTTTTATATACTGCTGTATTCCTTTTACTAATATTTCATTAATGATTTTTGCATCTATCTGCATGAGGTATTTTAGGCTACAGTTTTCTTTTCTTGTAATATCTTTGTCTTATTTGAGAGTCAGGATTATGCTGGCCTCATAAAATCAGTTTTGTTTTGTTTTGTTTTTTGAGATGGAATGTCACTCTGTCACCCAGGCTAGAGTGCAGTGGCACAATCTCAGCTCACTGCAACCTCCGCCTCCTGGGTTCAAGCAATTCTCCTGCCTCAGCCTCCCTAGTACCTGAGACTACAGGTGCCTGCCACCACGCCCAGCTAATTTTTGTATTTTAGTAGAGACGGGGTTTCACCATGTTGGCCAGGTTGGTCTCCAACTCCTGACCTTAAGCGATCCACCCACCTCGTCCTCCCAAAGTGCTGGGATTACAGGTGTGATCCACCACACCCAGCATAAAATCAGTTTTGAAGTGTCTTCCTCTTTTCTGAAAGAGTTTATTTAAGATTGGTGATATATTTTTTTAATGTCTCTTTTTCTGTGAAGACTTTTCTGAGCTTTAGGTTTAATATGCATTTTTCTAGCTTTTTCTTAACTTGTCATGCATATAATTATGTCTTCCTCATTAGACTGTCAGCTTCATGAGAGCATTTGTCTGTCTTGCTTTCCCCTATGCTCCTAGCATCTAGATAAGTGCCTGCTTCAAAGTATCATATATGTAAATGAATATTTACTGAATTGTGTTAAATTAAAGGGAAAATAAGAGACCAGAAAAACTGGGAATTGTGACACAATACTAAAGACAATATAAAAAGGCTTTTTTAAAAAGTTACATTGGGAGCAAAAAGAACAAGGAGGTGTAGGTGGGTGGTATCATATTAATGAATGAAAGAAAGAAAATAGAGCATTCACCTCTATTTGGGTTTAGTCTTCTCTGTCAAAGAGAATACTCTTTGGACCAGAAAAGGTAAAATAAACACTGGTTACAGGGAATGCAATCAAACATAGTTGAGATTGAAAGAGGTCACACAACTGCTTTAAATGATTTCAAGTTCCTTAATCTAATATTTCAAGATACTGAGGACTAGGCTGGGTGCTGTGGCTCACGCATGTAATCCCAGCACTTTGGGAGGCTGAGGTGGGTGGATCACCTGAGGTCAGGAGTTCGAGACCAGCCTAGGTAACATGACGAAACCCTGTCTCTACTAAAAATACAAAAATTAGCTGGACGTGGTGGCAGGCACCTGTAATCCCAGGTACTAGGGAGGCTGAGGCTGGGAAATCACTTGAACCCAGGAGGCAGCAGTTGCAAAGAGCCGAGGTCGCACCATTGCACTCCAGCCTGGGTGACAAGTGAAACTCTGTCTCAAAAAAGAAAAAAAAAAAAAAAAGATACTGAGGACTAGTGGATGAGCTGGCTGAAGCACTTCTGGCAGTCTTTGAGAAAGTGTGCATGGGGAGGGAGAAATAGGGGATGAGGGTCGGGGATGGATAGAAATTTCAGAAGACTGGAGTCAAGGAACTAATATTCAGGAGGTCACTTCAGCAGACTTGACATCCATGTTAGGTAATATTCTTAAACTACTTATGAACAAGAATAAATTAAGAGGCCTGGCACAGTGGCTCATGCCTGAAATTCCAGCACTTTGGGAGGCGGAGGCCGGCAGATCACTTGAGGTCAGGAGTTTGAGACCAGCCTGGCCAACATAATGAAAACCCATCTCTACTAAAAATACAAAAATATAGCTGGCTGTGGTAGTACGTACCTGTAATCCCAGCTACTCGAGAGGCTGAGGCAGGAGAATCCCTTGAACCCGGGAGGCAGCGGTTGCAGTGAGCCAAGATTGTGCCACTGCACTCCAGCCTGTGTGATGGAGTGAGACTCTGTCGGAAAAAAATTTCTTAAAAAGAATAAATTAAGAAAAGGAAGTTGGGATCACTGTAAGCTTACCAGAATTTATTGAAGATGGAGACAGAAAAGGGGAAGAAGTAGGAGGTAAAGGGGGGAAGGAAGAAGGGAAGAGAAGAAAATAAAGGGGAAGGTAAGGGAGGGGAGGGGAAGAAAAAGGAATAGGAACATATCCCAGGCTTAGTGGGTAAAGAAGATTTGATTTCAACCCTGGCTCTTTTACTGCTCAGTAAAATGATGTTAGGCAAGTTATTAATTGCTATAAGCCAGATTTCCTTATTGGTAAAATTGAAATGATAAGCTACTTCATAGAGTAGTTCTGATGATTAAATTAAATAATGTGTATAAAGTGCTTATTTATCAAAAGCAGTGATAACTGTGAAGGGGGTGAATTATGGTAATGACAATAATACTGACGGACAAGGAACAGGAGTAGTCAATCTAAACTTACTCCCTTTTTGAAGAGATTACTGCATTGGTAAGTTGGGAGAAATCTGTACAGTATAGCTGTATTTAGTATAGCTATATTTAGTATATTTGTTTAGCTCAATTGGATTTCAACAAGACTTTGACAACATCTCCATGACATCCTTGCAAACAAGGAGAAGGAATACAGGCTGGTTGAATAGTCATACTTAAAGTGTGCTATTAATGGGTTCCTGTCATGCTGAAATTCTCCAGAAGTGTAAATCTGGACTATGTACTTAGCCAGGCTTTTAAAAAAATCATTATTTGCATAAAAGCATTGATAGCAGGCTAATTAAATTTGGGAACAATAGCTAATAAGCTGGCTGAAAAAAACAAGACCTAAAAAGAAATAGTGTAATACAGAGCAAAGAATATGGCCTTAATGTCATGGATCTATCACTACTAGCTGTGTGACTTTGAGTAAATTGCTTAACCATCTGAGCCTTTGTTTCCTCATTTTCATGAAGATAATACTACATATTCCATGTGGTTGTGAGAATATAAAAGATAATATACGTGTATTATCACGCCTGTAATCCCAGCACTTTGAGAGGCCCAGGGGGGCAGATCACGAGGTCAGGAGATCAAGGCCATCCTGACCAATATGGTGAAACCCCGTTTCTACTAAAAATACAAAAATTAGCTGGGCGTGGTGGTGTGTGCCTGTAATCCCAGCTACTCGGGAGGCTGAGGCAGGAGAATCACTTGAACCAAGGAGTCGGAGGTGGCAGTGAGCCGAGATCGTACCACTGCGCTTCAGCCTGGCGACAGAGCGAGACTCAAATATATATGTGTGTGTCAAATATATATGGATGTGTGTGTATTATTTATTTCTGTGTTATAAATCTCCCCAAAAAAACCTGGGGGCTTAAAACAAAAACATTTATTATTTCACAGTTTCTAAAGGCCGGGAATCTAAGAGCAGCTTAGTGGGGTGGTTCTGACTCAGAGTCTCTTTTAAGGTTGAAATCAAGATTTTGATTGGGACTGCAGTTATCCAAAGGCTTGAATGGGACTGGAGGGCCTGCTACTAAGCTCACTCATGTGGGAGGCCTCAGATCTTTAGCACATGATCCTCCTGATATAAGGAGCTGGCTTCCCCAGAGCAAGTGGTCTTAGAAGCGAAGAACAAGCAGGAAGCCACAGTGCCTTTATCACTTGGCCTCTGACATCACATTCTGTCGCTTTTGTTTTCTCCATTAGAAGCTAGTTGCTAAGTTTAGCTCATACTCAAGGGAAAAAGGAATTACGATCCACCTCTTGAAATGGGGGAGTATCGTAGAAGTTTGTGGGCATATCTTTTTTTTTTTTTTTTTTTGAGACGGAGTCTCACTCTGTCACCCAGACTGGAGTGCAGTGGCCGGATCTCAGCTCACTGCAAGCTCCACCTCCCGAGTTTATACCATTCTCCTGCCTCAGCCTCCCGAGTAGCTGGGTCTACAGGCGCCCGCCACCTCGCCTGGCCAGTTTTTTGTGTTTTTTAGTAGAGACGGGGTTTCACCGTGTTAGCCAGGATGGTCTCAATCTTCTGACCTCGTGATCCGCCCGTCTCGGCCTCCCAAAGTGCTGGGATTACAGGCTTGAGCCACCACGCCCAGCTTGTGGGCATATCTTAAAATGGCAACGATCTAAAAAGTACTCAGTACAGTGCTTAGCACATAGGTGCTCCATAAATGGCACTTGTTATTCTACTCTTAATAATCGACACTTAATATACATATACAATTAATATACATGGTCCCTACTATGAAACTGGTGTGGGTAGGACAAGATAAACTCATGATTTCTTAGATTCCTGGAAAACACAGAAAAAGAAGTACCACATATCACTACATTCATTACATCTGTTTTGTACACCAAAATGAATGGATTATTTTTGTACTGCATGTAATGCACTAAGAACAGGACTAGTAAAAATAAATTCTAGTAATATTTACTTACTTGTTTATTTATTTTGAGACAGAGTCTCTCTCTGTTGCCCAGGCTAGAGTGCAGTGACACAATCTCAGCTCACTGCAACCTCCGCCTCCTGGGTTCAAGCGATTCTCCTGCCTCAGCCTCCCAAGTAGCTGGGACTACATGCATGCACCACAATACTGGCTAACTTTTGTATTTTTAATAGAGATAGGTTTTCACCATGTTGGCCAGGCTGGTCTCGAACTCCTGACCTCAAGTGATCCATCTGCCTCGGCCTCCCAAAGTGCTGGGATTACAGATGTGAGTCACTGCGCCCACCCAAATTTTAGTAATATTAATAGGCATACCTAAAATGTATAGTCTGAAAATACCAGTGATGTGAAAAATTTGAATGACAACCTAAAAATGATACTGTATGGTTTTGTTAAAGAGTTTTATATGTATATTTAAATATAGGTATTGATCATCTGAGCATTCATCAAAGTTCAACTGAGTAATATACCAACATGTCTTTCTGAGTGTCCTTTTCTCATTTCCATTTAAAAATGTGTCATAGCTAAGACTGACAGGCCCCAGTCTGCAGCAAAAATGGGGAATACTTGCTAGTTCACACACCTCCCCTGAGGGCAGTTTTGGGGGGATGTAAACTAACAAACATAGAAGTATTATATCAACAAAGGAGTCGATTAAGTAGAAGAGTCGATGTTGACAGTAAAAATTTAGAAGCAATAATTAATATGACTGAATCACTAAATAATCTTTATATATATAATA